CTGCAACTTTACGAGGGTACCAAAGTTGTCCTTCTTCTCTTCCTATTAAAAGATTCAAATAGGAAATAAGCTTCAGTCAAAGATAATAGGAGGTAGCAGGACATGTACTCTCTGACTAAATGGCTAAGTCGCTTGCATTATGCTCTGGAGGCCATGGGTTCACTTCATGGAGTGCCCTACCCAGAATACAAATGCAATTATAGTGAAACCTCGTTAACAAAAAATTATGTAAGAAGAAACCTAAGTTAAAATGAACAATATATGGTCGCAGTAAGGATATATCACTATTATCATTTCCCAGCTAGCATAAATTTTGTTCAACTCAATTTTTGGTCAATTGGCATTTGTGTTATTGAGGGTTTACTGTATTACAGAGATCCCTGGAGATTGTTACTAAAGCTACGGAATATGTGCTTTGTCCGTGCAAATAGAGACTATCTTTTAGGATAAAAAAGGGTGCAAACAGGTTAACCCTCTTGCTACAAACCTTTTAAAAACAGACTTGGTACTTGTCTGAATCAAGTAAATAAATTTAAATATCTAGGAACTATATTCTAGGAAGATGGAATAATAGATCTAAAATTAGAAACAAAATGCCAACGAGCCAGTGCACACATATACCAAATGATGCCGCTATAAACTTTTTACAAACTATGTACCACTTAGGTGGCTTTTAGAATCCACCCCCTTCATACTTTGAGCCAATATAGTGGCGCATCACAGAGACACTCTAGTACTGTTTTGTTTGCTAGGAAAAAGAATGTGTCCTTTCTTTTGTGAAGTTCGGCGTGGCTTTTGTGCCACTGTCTGATCTGTTTTAAACCTTTTTAGATGTGATACAATTTTTTGTGTGATTTTTCTAAAGCAAATGATAAGGGGAAAAGTCTAGAATTGCACATTCCACTCTGTTGATGAATCTCACCCAGATAGTGATAACATTCTGGATATTATGATGGATAATGCATGTGTATACTGCCGATAATTTAGGTTAGGAGAAAGATTGAACAAAATATTTTAATCGGATCATCTGTTTCGATCAGCTGTTTTCCCAATTTTCAACTGTTGTTAAATCTGACATTTCATAGACAAATTATCATAACACCCAAAGAATGTAAATTAAATTGTTTCAGATAAAAACTTGCTGCTACATAAATGAATAGAGAAGGCATTATAAGTCTTAGAAATGGATAGCAGTGTTTTTGAACAAGTAAACAGTAAAGCAGGCACAACATTTTATGTGCAAATAATCTTTGTGTCTAACATCCTTGAACTTTGTATGATTTTAATATTTTTCAATTATGCTGAAACTTAAACAGTTTAGATTTATACTGCTCTTATTTCTCTAGAATTTGATATACTATATGCCTCTACTACATACATCCAGTTTTAACATATGGATGTGAATCCTGGACAATCGGTAGGCAGGCCAAACAATTTTTAGAGGCCTCAGAGATGTGGTTTTACAGAAGAATGCTTAGAATACCTTGGACAGCCAAAAAGAGCAACCAAGAGGTTTTGAAAGAGGCTTATCACAGACATCAGAAGGAGACAGTCATCATTTTTCAGCCATGTTATGAGAAGAGGGAAAATAGAACATGTTGTGACCACTGGAAAGATCTGTGGAAGGAGGGATAGAGGAAGACAACGAGAGAAGTCGCTTGACAGTCTTGTTGCATGGCATGGAGGTGTGTCGGCACACAAACTGATACATGCTGCAGGAGATCGCAGATTATGGAGAGGCATGATCGCCCACGCCAGTCGGCAAGGCACCTGATGATGATGATGATATGCCTCTATACAGCCAATACTTTTTCTTCAGGATGATTTTAAGCTTTGTCATGTTGCAGAAAATAAATTCCTCTCAAAATTAATGCTGTCCAAGCCCCAGCAAAAAATGTGGTTCTGAAAGAGTTAAGACACCCAAACATAAATATGAGCACAAAGAAACAGATTATAAACAGTATATTCATACCAACACTGTGCTACCAGTGCCAGGCTTGGATATTATTAAAAGCTAACCTATGTAAAAGTAAATCTGCGAACTGAGATGCCTGAGAAAAGCCACAAACTTAACCATCTGAGACAAGGTTAAAAATGATATTATCAGACAGACTGTCAGAACAACACCATGCAGCAAATTCAGTGAGAAACAAAGATAAAATGGTTTAGTCTTTCAGTAAGAATGCAGCCAGAAAAACTAACACAGGTGCTACACATGACAAGATACAAAGTGAAATCAAGAGGCTGCCCTAGGAGAAGATGGCTTGATGACATTAAAGAGCTTCTACATCAATCACAGAATGATAATAGCCAATCCTGCCCATCAATAAATGGATCGCAAACCGTTCCTCCCTACAGTGCTTAATGGCAGAAGAAGAAATTGACGATGAACTCAACATTATTTACTTATATATTCACACTTAAAGAAACAGTTAAAGTCAAACTTTAGATACAAATAAATTGTGAAAATTTACTACCACAGAAGATTTTTCTAAACCATAAGAACAAGGAAAGAATAGAACAAATGTAATTTGCATGTCAAGTAAAGTTCAGATAAGCTAGCTTTCAATAATCATTGACAATTTTCCTTTTTCAACTGTATGCAGGGTTCATAGCCAAATTTACCAATCAATTTCAAGGCTTTTCAAGGTCTCCTTAGTTTTTTTCAAGGTTGTCTCGGTGTAATACTGAAACAAGATTTTTGCCTTGTTCAAGGGTGTACTGAGCACACAAGGTACTTCATTTGTGCCACACGTGTTGGTATACCAGCACAGATATCATCATCATGTAGCATTTCCTTTGTCCTGACAAAAAAACCTCGGCCTCTCACCAGCTCTCCCGCCTCATGTACTTTTTTATACTCAAGGAGTCACTTATATCCTGTGCCCATCTTCGTGTTGGTCGGCCCCTGAGCTTGATATAGTGTTTGAATTTTTTTTTAGGGCTTGGTGGTAGAGGGCAGCAAACTGAAGTCCTGTCTGTTCTGGACCTGGTACCTGAGAGGGTTAGGGGAGAGAGAGAGAGTCATGAAGAGAGAGGAAGACACATGCTGAGGTAGGCTGGGAGAGACAGTGTAAAGATGGACAGATGAAGGTAGAGAAAAGAAGGAAAAGAAGTCTGGGGAAGGAGGAAAAAATGAGGGAGGGAGGGAGACATGATGAGGAAAAGTGGGGAAGGGACAGCGAAAGACAGAGAGGGAGACAAATACAGAAAGAGGGAATGCAGATACAGAGATGGGCAGATGAAAAGAGAAGGAAAAAGGGAACGAAACAGAGATATGGAAGGAGGAAAATATGACAAAGAGTTGAAAGAAGGGAGGCAGAGGGAGAGAGAACGGACAGGGAGAGAAGCAGATGCAAGCAGAGAGAGATGTAGACATAAAGGAGAGAGAGACAAAGGGACAGCACAGAGAGGCAAGCAGACAGAGGGAGAGAACCAAAGAAAGAGAAAAAAGGCAGAGCAGGAGAATGGGAGGGAGGTATACAAAGAGGAAGTGATGAAGGGAGGCAAACAGACATAAAGCAAGAGAGAGAGAGAGGTGGGTAAGGAAGGCAGTGACAAACACAGATTAAGAGAGAGGGGCAGGGAAGGGAGACAAGATACATCAAAGAAAAAAAACAGCCACCTACTCCCCCCCCCACACACACACACAATTTCAAGTGTAGTGGACACAACCCACTAGGAAAAGATAGTTATGGGCAAAAAAATACGTAGATGAAACTCAGTTAAAAAAATGGGGATGGGGGGGTGGGGGGGGGGGTGGGGGGGGGGGGGGGGGGGATGGGGTTGGGGGGGGGGGGGGGGGGGGGGGGGGAGAGAGCGAGAATAGAGAGGGGAGCGGTAAGGAATCTAGAGAAATGAA